TACTGTAATTCATTGCAATGAATGAAGACTTTAACGCATTATATTGCATGAAATAGGTTGCATTATCATCTACTTGCGGTCATTAAAAGTTTAATGCATTCCAACGCACTAAAAACTGCATGCAGTTGCAAACATCACCTAATGTATTTCTGTTCATTATATTTTCCTTGGCTCCAACAGGGTGTGGGTCTGGGTGTGGATGTGGGTGTGGGTGAGGATGTGGGTGTGGGTGTGAGTGTGTGGGTGTGGGTGTGGGTGTGGGTGTGGGTGTGGGTGTGGGTGTGGGGTGTGGGTGTCGGTGTCGGTGTTGGTGGGAGTGTGGGTATGGATGCGGGTGTGGGTATGTCTGGGTACTGTCTTCATGGAAACTAGACCCACCCTCACCCACACCCCACATCCACACCCACCAACACTCACATCCACTCCCACACCCACACCCCACACCCACACCCACACCCACACCACCCACCCACACCCACACCCAGCCACCACCCACACCCACACCCACACCCACACCCATCCACACCCACACCCCACACCCACACCCACACCCACACCCACCCAAGTCCCATTTGGATTATCTCATATACAGAGCTTCGTCAGCTTGAAGTTTGCAATGCTAAGATATGAGTTTCTCAAAATGGCTGTTTCATAAAATATTAAAGAGTATAAATTTTGAGAAACTCATATCTCGATTTTGAGATCTTCAAAATGATGGAACTTTTTATATGAGATAATTCAATCGAGCCCTTCATGTTTACAAAGTTAGAAGTCAAATTTCAAAAATACGATTTTTTTTCTGGAACTGCACGCTCTGAAGAAATTCGGTACGGGACATTATATCAAATAAACATCGACAGGAATCGGAATCTTTCGACAGTTATGCTGTTCTAGTGGTACTTTACATATGAACACAGTATGAAAGCAATTAGAATCGATCATCTATAGACTTTTGTTAGTTGAAATTCAGCGCTTAGAAGCGCTTAGATGTGCAACTGTAAGTACTTTTAAGCGCTTAGATTCCTATTCGTAAGCGCTTTTAGGTAGCTTAAAATGTGCGCTTACAAGCGCTTATTAAGCTAAAATTTAAGCTACTTTAAGCTAGCTTTTTCGCTTAAATTTTCACATGGGTTGTTCATTAGCCGGGTCAACAATACTAAAAGTTCGAACGACGTTTGGATGTCGACTCAATTTAGCATAGAATGATGCTTCTTTCGATGCTCGTGCACCACGAATATGTAAAAGAACGATTTTTGGTCCCTGATGATTATTTAACCACTCAGATTCATATATAAACTTATCACCATGTTGAAATAAAGCTCGAATTCGTTTTTTTCTCACATCAACATTCAATTTGAATCTATAATTTTGTCTTTCTGCCTTCTTCTCTACTTCCAGCATTTGTTTAACAATATGATTCGGACGTAAAGAATTGATAGACATTGGTTGCCGTGTTAGAGGACTGGTTCGGTTTCTCTGAAACCAATCAATAATAGCCTTTCGCTCGTAAGTATGCTTGTCTTCACTAATTACAGGATCAACAAAACGCGTTTGTGCTATGGAACATTCAAGTAAAGCATCGAACGATTGTGATTCTTGTTGAACAGTCATTTTTCTTTGGTAGAAATAAATTTAAAAGTTTTAATACATAAGACAATACAAACTGTCTCCAAGTTGATTAAAAAAATACAGTGAAAAATCAATCGGCAGCTCATAAGATCGTTATTTTTTCTCGATTTTACTGCATTGAGAGAAAGAAAAACGGGCATTTTTTTGTTTTTTTTTATGAAACGTACTTGGTTGTTTTTTAATATAATGGACAAAAGAATAAGCGTGTTCGTTTTTCTTTCTGTTTAATGTCAGCACGCTGAGTATTACTATGAAAGAATAAAAGAAATATTTTTATTCTATAATGGTATGGCAACAAATCAATGCCTAGATGCTTGTGAATACTAAATTCTTCCAATCAGCTTTTAAATCATGCTGTATTTTGCTAAAGTATTTTTAAAAGTTAAAATGTTGAAAAGGTGAACAGCATGATCTCTAACCAATGTCAAATGTTTGAAAGGTAACACAATGATCATTTCCATTAAACAATGCAAGATGAAATATAAAAAAGTTTTGAAATAATCGATACATTAAATGACACATAGGTCATTCGTTGTAAAGACTCCAAATGTGACAATACGATTTTATCATGAGAAAAATTTCCGTTTTGAAAAATCAGTAAAAAAGAAGAATTTCATTAATCGAAGATCATATGTATGATGTGAACTATAGTCTACCATGATATAGAGAGAAAGAGAGGAGAGAGGAAACGTGAGAAAGTGAAAGCTCTTCTTCTGTTCAAATAGTAAAAAGCAGATAGCAAAGAATAGAACTTCTTTCAAACGAATATTCTTAGTAGATTTGCCGTGGAAACTAATAAAACCAAACAATTTCTACGTTCATAATCAAGAATCAAGACATTTGATTCAACCAAATCTCAATTCAAAGAATACGTCTGATCTATTGACACCAAACTCTATTCATTAAAACCAATAACATTAGAAAAGATCAAGTGTCGCAAACACGATATTGAAGATGGCAATGAACTATTGGATACAAATATTTAAATAGCACTGCATATTCATGTCGACCCGAAAAGTGTATTCATCCGACCATACTTTAATGGCTCCGGAATTATGATAATCTAACTAGTGGAAAATCACTCGGTTGATACTATGCTCTTATGTCAACTATTGGACATTTGTCGATGAAAGATACGATGATGCAATGGAATCGAATTGTTTGCTTCTTGAATTTATACGGCATCATTTTTGAAATTTCTGGTGAATAATCTTAGATAGGATATAATATACATATCCGAAGATCATCATAGGATCAACGAAGAGTGAGCCAATGCGAGAGTGTCGAGAAGCATTTGAAGAACCATATGAATTTCTTTTGGCTAATAACATTGGCAATCCAAAAGCTATAAATTCCATTCTCGATATGTTGACCAAAGCCGGATTCCTTGATCAAGTTGTTATTTCTAAAAAAATTTCCTTTGTTGCTAATTTGAAATATTTGAAGAAATCATTCGTTCTGAAATATATATTCTCCAGCAAGAAAAATCGAACTCCTTTTTTTTTTAAAATTGGACTATAATACTGTTTTTATATTAATAGTATCATAAATATCTATCAAAAAAAATTGAGAAATCTTGAACCAATCACATTTTGATTATCACTAGACACATCGAAAAATTTTTCTCAAAATATTTGGCAATATTCTAGCTCAAAAAAACTAGGTAATTGTACTCAAGCTATGTCTGATGTATTGTGTTTCCCCATCTCTGGCTATAAATTACAATTTTATTGCGCAAGAGTATCACGTGATTCATAAATCAGTTTGTTTTGGTGACATGTCGACAGTATGGCAGAGTGGTCTATCGCGCCAGTTTTAGGTACTGGTTTTCGCAGGTTCGAATCCTGCTACTGTCACTTACCTTTTCCTGTTTTCTTCTTGTATGTTTTTATATGTTACTTCTTCCTTGTGAACGGCTGTTGCATGAGTCACAAATCGCTTTGATTGGGTAATATCTTGACAACATGGCCGAGGGGTCTATGGCGCAAGTTTAAAGGGCTGGCTTGGGTGTGGAGTGTGTGGGTGTTGTTGTCGATACAGAAGAAGTCATTGGCACATACATGACAGTATGAATTAGTGTGGTAATGAACACTTTGTCTAACAAAAAAAGCAGGTACGTGCTATGTTTTTGTAACACACAAGAAAAGTAGAATTCATCTTTTAAATAAAAGGAAATTTTTTCGTTGTTTCGTGTCTAATTAAAAATGAACTCTGCTTAAGTTTCAATATACCTGTGAAGCGGATATGGCTGTGACTTTTGGCTGAGAGAAGATACAGGATTCCTCATATCCACACCTACAACAACCTTCACACGAAACAGCCCCATCTATTCACATATGCATCCTTATCCGTTACACACTGACTACGCAAACACAATCGTTTCTTCTCTTTCTTCCGTCCATATCACATACATGGAAAGGAGTGTGTGACTTTTGTTTTCTGTTTCTCGACACATATTTTACAACTTGATTTTTATCGTCTGAGTCAGATTGTATTCAATGTTTTTCATGCATGTTTTCTCTTGAATCATATAAATTGTGCGCACCTTTTACTAATTAAACATACTACGAGATTAATTGTTTCGAATGGAAGATATTACAACTTTCGAAATGTTACCAGATGAAATGATATTATTCGTATGAAAATATCTTCGTTGTGCCGAAATTCTGTATTCCCTCTTTAATCTGAATTCTCGTCTTAATTCGACAATAACTGACTACTGTCATTATGTAAATCTCAGGGATGTTACTTATAAACAATTTAACTTTGTTGCAAAGCAGATCATTCCTCAAATTGGCCTTTCTATACGATCATTTGTATTCAATGGACAATGGGAAAATATCATGTCCAACGAATTAAATTCGAAATTCTTCCATTTGAAATTATCTTTAATGTTTCCACAACTGCATGTATTGTCACTCATACATTTCATTGATAGACAACTAAATTTATTTCTTGACAAAATCACAGATCTTGTCCAACTTGTTAAGCTTGACATTAGAAATCTTCAAGGTGAACATTCAATAGAATCATTGGAAAAAGTTCTGGCTGCTAACAATAATCGATTGAAATCCGTATTATTTGATTATGATTCAACGAGTTTTATTCTGAATGCAACTAAAAATGACGAAGTTATTTCGTATCTAAACATCGAAGAGTTGATAATAAACTTAAATACTGATAAAATGCTAGGTTATCTATTCACATTTGTACCACATATTAAACGTTTACATATTGACTTTGACCAGTTGTTATCGGATTCAAAGTCGCTATTAGCAAATGCGTCATCTCTTGTTCATCTAAAAGATTTTCAGTTACGTTCAATAAGCGCATACTGGTCATTAGACGAAATTGCTTATATCCTACATAAGATGCCATGTTTGCAGCGATTAGCATTGGATCTATGTACAGAAGATGCACATCTTGTTAATGGACAGAACTTTATTCGAATTCTACCATCATCAGTGGTTGAGATACATTTATTTATTCTTTATTACTTCACTAAATCAAATATCGAAGCAGATACTTTGCTTTCTACATGGCCAACTTATATTCAAATAACATGTTTGCCAAATAAATTGCATAAATATGCAGTAATTCATACAATTCCTTGTGATTTACCTTCAATTATGATTCCAGCTAAAATAGCTAATTGCATGTTGGTTGGTTCGGAATACACACGAAAGGTTGAAGATTTAAAAATTTTTGGCGAACAATGTTTAACTGATATACATCTGATAGTGCAACACTTTCATCAGCTTCGAACGCTCACCATTGGCTCAGACAACAATTCCGAGATACGTAGGTTATTCTTCATAAGAAATTTTTCTATCGAAAATTTAAATTTTAAAAACTTTATCTACTATAAGAAATGTATTCAGAGATAAAATAGAATGAATTCACTGATAGACTCAAAATACATTAAAGGAAACATAACCACTTTATATCCAGTGAAATAGAAGACGGGAAAAGTTATACTTTTCACGATGGATGTTTAAATGATTAAAATAGACATTTAATTTGAACAAAGTTCCGTGTGAAAAATTTAAAATTGAAGTTTTATGAAAAAGAAATAGATCCTAAACAGAAATTTTCACTAAAATCTCAAGAAGAATAAAAAAAACTCTTTGAAAGTTGTTATATTCTACTAGTTTCCTAATTTATTCAGTCAAACACGAAGAAAAACAAAAGAGAAGTATGTCCTTTTGTGTCTTACTTGTTTCACATTTTAGATTTTGTTTTTTGATTAATTAGTATTAATTTTTTTTTGTATGTATAGTTACTGTTCAATCAACTCAACCAATCGTCTTACATTTACCTAAATTGAAGTGTCTTCGTGTGAAAGGAACATGTGAAATATTTCATCTAGTTCAAGCTTCTCCTAATCTTGAATGTTTAAGAATTAGTTTAAATTGTTTCAATATTGCACTTAACGATACATCTACATGTAAATTATTGCAAAACCGAATTACAGATCTTGAAATTACTCGTTTTCAAGAAATTGACGCAATTCAATTAGATATCATAGCAGAAAAGTTTAATCATCTTCGTGATCTTAGTCTATCCTTAGACAGTTTAACGGTTTTCGTCGATTCACTTATTCTCAAAGTGCTTTCATTATGGAAAGATAAACATCTTCGTGGTCTTTACATCAGAGGTTTGTTAACAGATGAAATGAGACAAGATCTTCGTCAGTGGTTTATCAATCATAGTCATTTACGTCAAGAAGATTCATTCGTTGTTGAATACAAGAGAAATTGGCTTTCTATGTGGCTTGAATGAAATTTCTGTACCGAAATTCGTTGTCATATATCAAATGATAAAATCTTATTCACAATAAAATAAAAACAACAAACTTATTTCATATTATATTAAACTGAAGTTTTTTTTGCTTCCGTTTCTTCATACAAGTTTATTTTTTGGGTGTGGGTTTCAGGGTATCGAGATAAGACTTACGCTCATAGCCTTATCACAATATCTTGAACTTTGTAGATATATCAGTATGGAGCGGATTATTCATCTCGTTACACTATATTGACTCAAAACCGTTAATTTAATGTGGTATACGGATACCACGAATTCATTCAGTGAATACTCTAATAACTATTTTGTGAATCTCGATATTCGAACTATGGATATTATTACATGCTTCAATTAGAAACGGCTTTTAGGAATTACATGAAGTTCTGTTTGTTTACAATTTATATTAGCTGTTTCATTGACTCAAAGTTATTCGATTTTATAATGCTAATTATCTTTGATAATATTTCCATGTCTCATTCGAAAGTATTACATTCGCTATTGATTCTTCATAAGATTTCATTGATAATCAAACCTGATACAAAAAACGGTATTGTCGGACTAACAATTACTGAAGTAGATTCACTTATGCAAACTCTTTTTTTCAAATGGGTACATTTGATGGTGGTGATCATATGATCATTGATCATATTGGCATAAGGAGCTGTTAGATTAGATGATGTCATATTTTAACTATTATTACGCAAGATCCGGTTCTTTTTATTAGTAAGATTAGAAGTAATTTTGATCAATTTAGTTTTTATTCAGATATGGAAATATGAAATGTATTTGAACATGTCTATCATTAATTTAATAAGTGTTTCTTTGTCATTAGTTCAATGACTTTGTGTTGTTGACATTATTACAATTGTAGATATTAGTGATAGATATAATGTCAATGAGTCTCAGAGGTGCAGAATCTTCCAAAAACCCAAAAATTTCCCCCACGCAAAAAAGTTTTTTGAAAAATTTCCCCACTGTATTTTTTTTTGGCCAGCGGGTTTTTCCAAAATTTCCCTATTATTTGAGTTTTTCAAAAAATTTCCCCCCTCGCGCGGGGGCGCATGAGGAAGATTCTGCACCTCTGATGAGTCTTCATTCATTAGTAAATGAAAGTGAATCTAATTTAAGTGCTAGTCAAAAAACAATTGATATGTTCAGCAAGGTCTATATATAGAAAAAAGAGTAGAATTCTTGTGATTGATGAAGCAACTACTAATGTGGATATCGAATTTCTATATTATTTTACAAAATACATATATTTATTTTTTCTTATAGGTGTTTAATAATGGAAAATTGATGGTGCTTGATTTACCTCCTATTACTGTATTAAAATCATTTTAATTCAATAAAATGCAAAAAAAAATGTTTCTAAGTATTAAGAAACAAAGACCTATTCAGTAAGCACAGCTGTACATAGAAACTAATTCTTTTTGTTTCTGCAAATTATCATTTTGTTATGTGTATCATGATACTTTGAAAATGAGATCTTGTGTTCAAAAACTCATACTTTGATGATGTATAGAATCCATTCAGCCTCTTGTAGGATGTAACAAAATGAATTGAAATATCTTTGAGTATTCAATATCTTGCGAAAAAACTGTCTAGTTGTAGAAAAATTTCGGACTAAGATTCTTTAATTCAGTTTTTCTCGTAAGATCTCTATAAACAGAATACGCTCTTATCCTCATTGTATTTAGAATGAAAATGACGTACGATTGTTTTGTTTTTTTTGAAAAGCAAACATCATTTCTTGTTGGAATAAAACAAAACATATACGTACTTTTCTCTTTATTAACACCTTTCTATTGAAAATTAACACGTAATCAATAGACGGAAGACAAATTTTGCGATTCATATTATATCACAATAGTAAATTATTGATTCAATAAAATATTTCATCATGTTATTTACAGATTATATGCATAATACCAAAACAAAACCTTATAAAAAAAAAGAGTTTTTCTATGATAAATTATAAATCAATTCATACAATTAAAATTAACATTTAAAAGATGTACTATTAGAATACATAGAAACATCAGCATCTAGTTAAACGAAACTATATTTATACAGAAGCCTCAATATTGAATTGAAAATGATAATTCGTTTCTTTAATACCAATTAAGAATCGATAATACTACAAATTTAGATTAGTCTTAATGTTCGAAACCACAAATGGAGAATGCTAAGTAACATTTTACTATTATAAAAGCAAAGTAGAGGACGATTTTCTATTAAAGTTTATTGATAGTTAAAAAACAAATCAATGAAGAATGACTATTTTGAAATAAAGAACACCAAATGATTAGTTGATCAATTCGAAGTGTGACAGCTTCATATCGATTAACTGAGCTGGTATCAACTACTCAAATCTTTTCATTTGATCAGCTTACGTGACTTAAAATGGAGCTTTCACAAATCGATTCGACGAGATTTAAAAAAAAGGAAGTATTCACAGATGTGGGTGAGTATGTATAGGTAAGGATCTGAATGTAGATGTGTGTCAAGAGAAGACTTAAACTTAGTAAAAATTCCCACCTACACCCGTAGATCTCTATTGAATAATTAACTTATTTAGATTAAGTTCAGTGTCAATCTTAAACCTTTTAACTTAAACTCGTCATATTCTTTAATATTTCAATGATTGATAAAGTATTATAAAATCTATAGGAATGATTTGTTTTGTTGCCTTTGCCTTTTTTTTCTTGAAATTTATCTCACATCATTTTTTTTTATTAGTGAGGTTTTCTGTCATTGTTGACAGATGTCTCTCAACATTTGTCATTTGTTCTCTTTATTTTACCAATAAAATTTTTACTCATTCGTTTTTTCTAACTACCGTTACATGCATTATTTGCACAAGTTTTTTTTTTCTTATTCATGAGAAAAAAAAAACAACAGAACATAAATACACTTTTAGTTTCTTCCTCGAAAAGAACAAAAATAATGTCTCTCATTACGTTTTTATTTTTATTCAAAGAATTGCTAAAATTCTATTGAAGTTGATCATTTTTCAATAAAACTTCCGAGTTTCAGTTTGGTATATGTACAATTGATGATTATATGAATTTATTCATTACATTGATATAAAAAGAAAACATTTAAAATATCAATAAAATCCTATACATTTTCTTCTTTAGTCATTTACAACATATGATGTTTTTATTGATTATATAATTAAATATGGTCAATTAAATTTATTTATTTCAAAAATTATACAGTTAATTGACAATTATATATGCTTATGATACAGATTGTCGATGTTTCTTTATATATATATGACTTCCTAATAAATTTCAGAATTGTCTTATTGTGATCATTTTGGCAATATATGTTGCTTTCTTCAAATTTTATTGAAGTAAAAAGTAATCTATTAGAACACATACAAGTTAGGTTTTTTTGTTTTTGTTGTTATCATGATTTGATAATGGGTTAACAAGACAGAGTTATAGCCGATAGAAGTGGCTTTGCCTTGTCTTTTTCTTCCTACCTACTATCAAAAATCATAAACGTAACAGAAACGACAAGAAAAAAATAAGAATTAACGTGTGTATGTGTTTAAGTATATCACTTTTTACTCAATAAAGCCTGAAAAATACAATGTCTCAATAAGAAAAATAATATTTTTACTTAAGTGTGACATTGTTTTAGAATAGTCTTTGCATGAGATAGATTTAAAAAATTCTGAAAAAAGTGACATTTGATATTATCGAAATAGTTTTTTTTTTCTAATTGTTCAAATTAATTTTTAACAATTTTTCGAAAGTATCATTTCGTATGAATAGAATGACATAAAACCTCTCAATTGTGTGAATTATAATTTCTAGTAAAATAAAAACTTAGTAATATAAGATATTTTACTTTTGATAGATTATATTTATAAGTCATATATCATACGTGGCTATTCTAATTTGTTCCTTAGAAATAACTTGAAACCAGAATATCAGTGGAATATGTTGTTTTTTAGGTACAAAATTATTATGAATTACATTTGAATTTCAGATTAGTATAATATATGGCTACATCACACAGTGACAATTGGAATGAACTTCATTGTCAACAAGGTTCATGCAAAATTATTTTAAAACCAGGAGATCTCTTAGACGAAAAAGATGTTAATGTACTTGTTATTCCAACACCAGCAGGTGGAATGAATCCGGATAATTTTCAACTCTTCAAATCTATTTACTCTAATGCAGATGAAAATTGCAAAAGAGAAATTAAGAAAGTTTGTTTTAATTTAACACAGTCAGAACCACAAACGTTTTCGTTATATGGTCTTCGATATATTTTTGTAGCACCACCATATGTTGGTAATCGCGACAAAGCTCCTAAATATTTAAAAGAAACTTATACTTCATGTCTCAAATTAGCAGTTAAGAGTAATTTTCGAACAATTGCTTTTCCCACTATTGGTTGTGGTGTCATTGGATTTCCAATAGACGATGCAGCTCGTAGTGTTTATTCGGCTATAGAAAATTTTTGCCAATCAAAAGATGGCAAAAAAATGGATGAAATTCGAATAGTTATTTATGATAAGAACATATATAACGAATTCATTGGTATTTTCATTGAAACTGATCAAACGAAAAAAATAAAATTCAACTTTGTAACAATGTATGATCTTATATTTACTATGCTGCGCTCTTTTCAATGTTTTGATATTGATTCATGCTATTTGTTTCATTATGAAATTGATCTCATTTTAATTCATGTTCTAGATCGACGAAAACTTCAAACCGATCTGAAATGTCATCAACAAGAGATAAACAACATGAAACACAACAACCATCAAATAAAAATGCATCACAAGAGTAATAATTACCACATAGATAATAGAATTAATAAGAAAAATTTCATTATGTTAAAAGATGTTAGCACAGTTGTTTCTACATAATTAAAATGTGAAACATAATGTAGATACCGTTGTTCATCATAGAGAGACTATATTATTCTATCCATTTTAAGGCACAGTTCTTTCTCATACTTTTATTTTACTCTTGAGAAATGTAATATGCTCGATATTTTTTTAACTAAAAGATCAGAATAGCATCGTACATAATTCTGTTTCATTATGATAGAAATCTACATAAGATTTTTGTTTTATCTTGTAGTTATTCCGATGATTTTGATGATGATGATAAACATAGACGTCCAGGAAGTGGTATGGCAAGACAAACTTCGAATCTCAATCCGTGAGATAAAAATAACATTTCACAAACATATAATTATGCAAAATTTTGTTATCATTTAGAAACTCTCCAGAATTTCAACCAAAAACTAATAATAACAAGCGTGTTCCTCGTCATTTTTGTCTTAACAATAAGCGTACAGAATTAATTATAATTCAAGGAGATATTTTAAAAACAAGAGTGGATGCTATTGTCAATGGTTTGCTTGTTTGTTTATTTGATTTTTAAAGAAATATTATCGTTTCATTTTATTTGTCTAGCCGCTAATGAAAGAATGATGGGTGGTAGTGGAGTTGATGGAGCTATCCATGAAGCTGCCGGAAACAACCTTCAAAGAGCTTGTAAAGCTCACAAAGAAATTTCTCGTGATGTTCGTTTACCAACTGGTCATTCACGTATTTTACTTAGTTATGATTTGTTCAACACAACTTACTATATCATTAACACTGCTGGCCCCGAATATGATGATACTAAACGAGAGAAATGTAAAAAAGATTTAACATCTTGCTATAAAACATCACTAGCTTTAGCGAATTTATATGATCTTGAAACAATCGGTTTTACTGCTATTAGTTGTGGTATATACGGATATGTAAGTGTAGTTTTTTCTTTAAATAGATATATATAATCAATAGTATATTATACAGCCAATTGATGAAGGTGCTGAAGTTGCACTTACAACAGTTGATCGTGCAGCTGGTACCATGGATAAAATTTTCTTTGTATTAAAAGATGATGATATTTATGATGCATGGATTAAAAAAGCTGAGGAATTACGGTTCACTTCACTGGATGAGAGTAGTGCATTAACACAAGCACGTCCGAATAATCAAAAGACGATTGAAAAGTCAATTACAAACAATCCATCGACATCAAATACTACAAAAGCAGCACTTAAAGAATCAACTGGCACGAAATCATCTAGCAAATCACTACAAGATTCAAATGAAAAATCTGAAAGTGAAGAAGACACGAACAAGGAAAAACATGATAGTTCATCGAAGAAAAGTGAACAAAAAAACAAGGAAAGGTATATAATCAGTACGGCAGAATGAATGATATTTGTAATGGTTTTTTGTAAAGATTTCTATTGATAAAAAACTATCGATACGATTATTTTTCATTCATAATATATGTTTCTAAGATGAAAATTATTACGAATAATATTTCATTCTGCCATCTATCCTATATGAATATGTCGAGACAGCTAACCAGTTATTATTTCAGTGCAATATGTACTCTTGTATGATTTTAGTGGAGAACCAACTTCGAATAATTTTTCTAAGACTAAACAAGGTCAAAATAATAAGCAAGAACCACCATCTCCAGCAGCTTCAAAGAACACAAACAAATCAATAGGGTCAACCGGTAGTCCACAGAATCAAAGAAAATAGATTATAGAAATATGATATAATTCTCCCGCTAACTTATGTTCTAATTTTTTATTAATTAATAATAATCATGAATATTTGATATTATAATTTTGAATAAACCAAAAAAAAAAACAAATCACTTTTATTTTTCTCTCAATGATAATATTTTTTAAAAGGTATGGCTAATAAACGAGAAATGGTATTGTTAATGATAGAAATTTTAAATTGATCAGATTCCTAATTCAGCATTCTTATTAGCTTTATTGATTTCATCAAAATTTATCAAATAGTTTTGAAACATATGTCATTATTGAGTAAGCAAGTTCTTGTGTTGATCGTATAGGTCGGATTCTTTTTTCTTTTTGCTTTGACAACAATAACTTTAATGTAAGGGTGTGTGTAGATGTGATCTTTTAAACTTTAAATAAGTTGCCTATTATTTATTCTTATACTATGTTAAAGGTGTAAGACACTTTAAAATATGCAATAAAAAAAAAAAAGAAACGGACAAGGAAAATGACAGACATGACTAAAAGAATATTGAAAAGAGTCTTTATATGATGAGATCACTTAATTGTTGTCCAGACAGTTGTTTGTCGGCTCCATCATACATATGAATAATTTGTATACCACTTTGTTCTTTTTCTCTTCCATGTCTCTCTCTCATTACGATGGCGATCATCATCATCTTTATTCTCATTTTCTTTTTCTTCTAACATAGAAAAGAAATAAAGATTGTCGTCGTTCTCATTTCTTTTTTTTTTCTTTTTTTGTACAGAAGAAGACGGAAGATTTGCGTTCAGTCATCATCATCATCATTCATTTTCTTCCTGTATATAGACGTGTTCTTATAAGTTTTACAAGTATTAAATTTACAATCAAATTTATATGATGACATATCGATGAAAGAATTTAGTGGATTTTTTCTTCTTAATATTATTTTATTTTTACAAATACATTCAGGTAATATATATCTTCAAAATTTTGTTTAATAACAATAAATATCATAATTATTTGCAAGACAGGAAGTGTGAATGATTTGTCAAAATAGATAAATGAATGTTTAGACTAATAGATTAGATGAACATGTATACAACAGCTGTCTATCGAATCAACAAAGATATATAGATCCATTCATTTGTCAATTGAATTTATATTAATAATATGTACTATATTATGTGAACTATAATCCATCTGTTCTAAACTTTTGTTTCAAAGTTCACTTTATCATTTTTATTTTTAAGTTATATTCAAATTATTTATATAATATTAGTCACTATTCAATGAATAATTTCATATTGATTACTGCTTATGTTTTATATTTTATTAGTTATTGATTGAGCAGATGTTAGAATATATTAGAAAAGCTAAAGAATTCTTTTCTATAGTCTTTTCTTTTTTTTTAATTACATTAGCTAATAGCCTTCAATTCTTTTCTTTTTCTTTAGTAATCAATATATTCATTTATTCTATTGCTTTTTCTAAAATGTTATTTTATAATGAACGGGAGGAAAAGAAAACCTAACAATTTGATGTACTATTATTATTATAGTAGATCCAATATAATCAACAATCAAACCTTGAGAAAATTTCAGATGATTACTCATGCTTTAAAGTAATATATTCTTATTGTTGACAATACTTTCTACTCAATGATGTAATACCATTTCAATGGATTTTATCATATCTTAATGACAATTTCTATATGGTTTAAAATCATATTAGATTTTTTTTTTCTTCATCTATGAGACATCAAAAGAGAGAGAGAACCAATTGAAATTTCTTTCCTTTTTTTTTTTCTTTTTTACAATTCTAAGACTTCATTTATTTATTAGTATGAATAAAATATAGCATGTCTCATAATGTATAACAACAGACGACAGCTTAGTGCCGAGTGTCATATTAATCAAAGTTTAAAAACATTCATATGAATAGTGATTTCTCCATTGAACATGACAGAGAGCTAAGACACATCAAAAAAAAAAAAGAACGTTGAGTAATAACATGAAACGAGAGACAACAAGACAAAGGAACTGACCATAGTAATTTTCATGCAAAACCTTGACATTGTTTAATGTCTAATTTTATCTATAGTTTGGTTGTTATGTAAAATGCCTACGGCATGGCTTGGTTCATGGTATCAACGTGGAATGAATTCATTATTAGAGATAACAATCGATCATATTCAGACGAAAGGATTATGTTTAGATGTACTTCCTATACAACAATATTATCTTTTTATTGATCGGTAAATATTAAATTACTACTTATTTAGAATTATCTTTTTAGTATAAAAGAATGATAAATTTAATATTTTTTTTTAAATAGATCAAATCGTTGTACACGATGTTTAGTATTTATTCAACGACATATTAATTTATTACAATATCGTGAAAGTATATTTAATTTTCAAGAAAATATTATTCAATAGAATTTCTATGATTTCATATTATAGGTGAATGTAATGATGTAGATGATCTATCAAGCATTAGTTCATGTCCAAATATGATTGCGCCTGATGCTGCCATGTATACACTTCATCGAAGTAAGTATATTATGATTAGTTTTTCTTTTTTGTTGTCGTTATTGTTGTTTCAACATTAACTATAGAAATGAGGTCAAAGACCCATGTGTATAAATGAACAGTAAAAAAAGAATAATATACTATGTTATGTTATTTTTTATTTAATATATTCATTATTTTTATGATATTATTCATTTAGATAATTCCAAATCACAATTATGTCCTATTCAACCACCATTTGTTTTAACAAATTTAGTAAAAGATAGTTCAAATTGTCAACAATCAATCACATCATCATATATAAATGAATGTGCTACAGATAATCAATTTCATCTTTATCTAACACCATGTTTATCATATCAACCAATTCTTGGTTAATAAAATTAAACTTCTTTTTCTTTTTTTTTGTTAAACTTATTCTTTTATTTAGATCTTCAATTTATCTGTGTTGGAACATGGATAGAAGATTTTCATACGTATTTTGTTGCTCGTATTATTTCTCATTCTATAAAACGACAACGTAATCATAGAAACAATCAATATGCATGTTTTGTATATATTAATTTTTGTTATCTAAATTTTATTTGATTATGTTTTTGTTTTTTTTTATCTTATTGTATTAGAGATTTTTAACTAAACAAAAATCTTCATCATTATTATCACTTAATATGGCTACTGATGATTCATGTCGAGATTTATATTCTAAACATATGTCTACAATAATGACTTTAACATCAACAAGTAAATTATAAATATTGAAATTATTATTATTTTTTTAAATAATTTAGATTATCAAATAACTAATGAATCAATTCAATATTGTATATTTCCTAATAAATTTCAATCCAATGAATGGTATTCAATTAATGGAACAATACGAATGATTATTAAAAATATTGATATAGAATTAATTGAAATGAATAAACGTTTTCATTGTTATGAAATGATTAATTTAGAAAAATCAATAAATATTTATCATATAAAAACATTTACAAATTGGTATTTAAGATAAAAGAGAAAGAGAGAAAAAAAAAATTATATGATTTTTTTTTTTTTGTTTAAATTTTAGTGATATTAAAGAAGAATGTCTTCGTATAATTCAACGAACAAATAATGTTATTGAACTTTATACATATACATTATCAAATGAAAATAATTGTTATAATTTAAATTATAATAATTATAATTTATATTTAATATTTATTACAAAATCATTTAAATTATTAAATTCATGTCCAAATTATATTAATAATTTATTATTTCAAACAAATATTAATTTTAATTTATATAGAAAATCATTTCAATTATCTATTGATTGTAATAATAAAGAAAAATTAACTTTTTTACAAAATCAAAAAGGTTTGATTTTTTTTTTTTTAATATTTAAAGGTTATTATCGAATAAGTTAACCATCGACAATCATATTAATAAGTTAGACAATCGAAATTAATTAAACATGTACTATAGACTTCTATGACATGTTATGAACATAATAGAAATGCAAAGGAAATGATCAAATAAAAAAGAAAAGGAAATGAATGAAAGTATTAACAAGTGAAATAGGCGAATTCCGGATATTGACATTTAATTGAATCCTACCCAAGTAGACAAACTTTTGAGAAAACACGTTTAAACACACAGAAATTGGCCTAAAATCAGCAAAAAGTGGACGTTTTTGGTTCACACTTGAGGTTTCCGACTGTGAACCAAAAACGCCCTTTTTGTGCGTTTACACGTATACGAAAAAGTGGTCGTTTTTTCATACTCGGGATGCACGATCATGATTACAGTCGCGTTTCTTGAACTGGAAAAGCTGAACAACTTTTTTCTCTCTTTTGTATGCGTGTAAGCGCATTTTTTGTCTGAAAACACGTTTACACGCACAAAAAGGGCGAAAAATGGGCGTTTTTGGCTCACAGTCGGGAACCTCAAGTGTGAACCAAAAACGTCCACTTTTTGCTGATTTTAGGTCAATTTCTGTGCGTTTAAACACGTTTTCTCAAAAGTTTGTCTGCCTGAGTATTGGATTGAATATGTAAGTTTTGAGATTGAGTAGACTTTACCAAATGGCTTATAAATAATTGCATTGTTACTTGATTGAAAATTATGTGTAAAAATTTTCACTTTTCCAGTTAAACTAATAATTAAAAAGTAATCAATGAATATTACTTTAGCTATATGAAAAAAAAACATCCATACCCTCAAAGAATCAACCGTGACTGATCTGAACAAAAAGAATGTTTTTTAGGGCTCGCACACCTTATTTCAACGGAAAAAAATGTTGTATAAATCTGTTGTTAAATAAAATATAACATTCTATGGAAAATTTCAAATATTAGCTTTTAATATTATTTATGAGCCATTCGTTATAATGCCTTTAAGTTTTGAAATACCTTTACGTTTATTCTCTATGAATTTTCTTTTTTATTTTGAAAATCTCTAGATTTTATTTATTCATAATTGTAGATCTTGAACATCGATCAAGAACTGAATTTGATACATGTCTTGCATCATGGCAATCGGATGATCCTTTAACAACATATTTTATTACTCAATCAAAACATTCAAATATATATCATTGTTTTGTATGTTATACTTTGTTTTTTTTTGTCTCATTTAACATAATATTCGATTTTTAGAGTTTTCAATTGACTAATCAAATTATAATTCGAAATAATAAGGATGATTGTTCATTTGTAAATAATGAAGATGAAGAATTATTTTCTATGTATTCAGTTTATATAGAAGATTTTTGTTCTCAATCACAAAAATTAATATCAAAATTAGTTTTATTATTAATAACAATTAGTTTTTCTATGATTAATATCAATTAGATATTTCTATATTATAAACTATTCATTCCAAACAGTGAATATATATATATATATTGAATTATTCTTAATCATTATAACTCTATCAAGTAGTTTTATGTTGTGCAAAAAAAAAAAATGAAAATTCAATTTGAATGTTTAAAAAAAAATTATACAAATTTATAAGATCATAAATATCTTTTTTTTTTTTTTGATAAATTTTTATTACTAAACGTCAAGAACGTGATACATCATAATTGATTTATATCAAAGTAATAATACGATAGATAGTTTTTTTTTTCTCTAACTGATGTTAGCATTTAATTTCAGATTGAAAAATTAATATAACAAATCTCGAATTAGAGACTATGTGTATATTCGCATTCGATGTAGAGATGTTAGTTCAGTAAAAACTCGAGTAGAAAAATGTAGATATAATTGAATTATCATTTATGCTAAAACAAAGATCAAGTAAATAGAAAGAAAATTACTATCTCGATTGTGAAAGTAGGGCGAAGAGAATAAGTACATGCATACCCGCACTCCATTAGAGGTTCGGCGGTTGTCAAAAAAAAATAACTCGGAAGTAGAATCGCGAAGGTTCCGGCTCGATTCTCGAAAATATCATGTAGAACCGAAATTATTAAATTATCTGATAGATATAAAAAAAAATAGAAATTTTCATTAATAAATTATTGAGTTTATTATTAAAAGATAAAAAATTTTCAAACAGCATTAAAATACGATATATATTTTTTGCTTGTTTTCATATGTATATATATATACATTCTCGAAAAATATGTAAATGTTATTTTTTATATTTCTTCATTGCTAAACGTTGTAAAAGTTTTGATGATGCTGTAGATTTTGATAAATGTGGTAAACGACGATATATATTAGAAATATTTCTTTGTTTATTATTTAATAATGGATATATAGAAAGATTTGTTTGTGATGTTTCCATTTGTTTTAAATTTTGTTGTTCACGATGTAATTGTGCATATGTAACAATTAATGGACTTTTTCTTTCATCATGATTTTGATCAATTGGTGATATTGATAATTCTCGTTTTTTTTTATTAATATTATTTTCATTTGATAAACGAGAAGAACTTGGTGAAAGAGTATATGTTGAGAATGATGATGGATGTTTTACTAAACTTCGAGCTAGATTTATCAGAAAATAAAAAAAAAAATGAAGAATAGTTTTTTAATTGAAATAATTTTTTAGATTTTTACCTGTTGAAGGTTGAGAAGATAAAAAAGATTTCTTTTTTGGACTATTGAGATCAATTATATGTAAGGCTGCTAATGATGCTTCTTCTTGTAAAGCGATTTTAGCTGCTGAAATCGACCATCGAAATTCGATTTCCGTTTTTCTTGATGGATTTTTTTGAACAATTTCTTTTGGTTTTATGTTTGATTTTATACTTGAATTGTGATGTTGTAATAGAAGAGCCATAGTTTTTTTTTTTGAAATAATTCGTTTCAAATATAACAAAAAAAACTTCTCATATTTATATAGGTATACTCTTGTTTGCGTTCGAAAATGACGGTACAAATCATTCCAATTAAATTTTCATATTTGTTTTTTCAAAACGATAGTAAATATAATAATAAAAATATTTGAATCTTAATTGCATGAAAAGCAAATATTAAAAATGATCTAATTAGCAATGTGAGAGTATGAATTTTTTTGATCAAAAAAAAAAAACAAAAACCCATATTAAATTCTTGCATACTTTTGTTCCATTTTAAAATACTAACTATTTCTTTTTTTTATTTGTTATTCATCATCTGTACAAAAAAAGAAAAAAAAGGAACAAATAACAAAAATGAAACACACAAACACACGCAAACACACATTGATAAAAAATCACAATCGAGAAACACGTGGTAAAGGATGAAGATTCATTGATGATGTTGAACCAGATGATATATCGGCTGCATTTACATCATCATCATCTTCATTATGCGGAATTCGTAAACTACTTCGAGCAGTTGAATCTTTAACAAAAAACAAAAAAAATTTTTCTCTTTCGATTTTTTAATATATTACCTCCATTAGTAGAAAAATGAACTTGATGAGGACGTTGATTTGATTCTTGATCGGATGTATATTTTTCAATTAATACAAGTGGAATATCTTTTCGTTGTGGTGAACTCGATAAATGACGATGTTTTCTATCAATATGAGAATCATAAAAATATTTTTTACGACGATTATCAAGATAATTTGTTCGTTCAGCAGCAAGCATAAGTAATGTATCAAATTTATCAGAATCTCCTGTTCGTTCTGTTGTTGTACGACGTTTTGAAACTTGTAAATTACTTCCGGTTGTATTAGCTGATATTGATGATGATGAACGATTACTATGTGTACGATGTAATAATTGATTTGCTTGAGGAATTTCATTTAATTCAATATCATCATTATCAATTGTACATTGTGAACATCGACGAGCAATAAGTGCTTTACGATTTGAAGCACCACATTGAATAGAAAATCGAAGTTCTTTTATTAATTCCCACCAAACAGAATGCTATAAACAAAAAACAAAAAAAAAGATATTTTATTTTCTCTTTCATATTTCATTTAAGTCTTAAATATAATGTAATTTACTCGTCGATTTGCATGATTTTTACGTGCATGCCATAAAAATTCCAAGATAGCAACAAGTAAAGAAAGAAAAACACCACCTAAATTAATCATATTTATATATATGTATATATGAAAATATTCGATTTTGTTTTTTTTACCAAGAAGCACCACAAATATTCCACCAACATTTGTTAAATCTAATGGATTTGGTTTGGGATCTTTTTTTTGTGTTGGACATTTTCCTTTACCTTTCCACCATTTATCATAAGATTCTTGAATCTAGATATATATATATATATCATAAAAATTTTTTTTGTTTGTTTATTTATTTTACGTACAGCTCCTTTTTCTTGTAAATCAAGAATTATTTCAGAAAAACGTTCACGATGTGGACTTCCTATTACAAAAATAAAATAAATATACATTTTATTCAAAAAATAAATTTAACCTTCTGGTAATCCAATTCCATAACCTTTATAATCAAGATGACCACCAATTTGTGTTAAATTACATTTTTGTTGTACTGTATATTCAATTGTTGTTGATTCCATAAGAAATGCATAATTTTCAGCTTGAACACGTTCAATACCTTCATGATTTGTACTAACAAATACATCTGGATTATTTATCATATATTTCCACATAGTTTGATAAGTTGGAATGCTCGATTCCTAATATTATATAAAAAATTAATAAAAATTAAAAGAAAAAGAAAGTGTACTCGAAAAAATTGTTCAGTTGAACCACCACGAACAACTCCATATTTTATTTTTGTATGTTTTGCTAAATCTTCAACACTTTCAATTTCATTAACAAGTTTTTCAACAGTTAAAAATGCAGCTAAAAAAACAAAACAAATTTTTATTTAAGAAAACAAAAAAAAAAAAAGTGAACAAAATTTTTTTTCCTATATACCTAAGTTAGCAGTATAAGATGATATAAGAATTAATGTAAAAAACCACCATATACCAGATACAAGACGAGTAGATATTGCCGATGGACTTACATCAGAACCTTTAAAAAAAATAAAATTTATTTAAATTGCAAAAAAAAAACGAAAGATAAAAATTATAATACTTTACACATTTGAGATGAAACTAAAAATTTCTCTAAATACATGTTGTTACATGCGAATTGATTTTGCACTTTTGAGAGAAAGAAGTTCTTTGATGAATAGCATATGACGAAGAATCACTATAGGCTTTCTATTTAATGAGAAGTATCTCATGTCGAACGCGATATACATTGCTTATTAGAATCCATACATAAGAAGAATTATGTTTTGTTTTCATAGATCAAAGGCTATGATAACAACAACCGTGATAATCAGAAAGAACGACAAAATAAACTATAAGAATAACTATGTCATATTTTGATGACAAATAATTTTACTTGATAATATCTAATATTATCTATTTACTTATAGCATAAACTTACTAGTTCAATTTTTTTCCTTATGATAATTATACGAACAAGAAAATATAAATAGGAAACTCAAGTAATTGAATGAATACTTATCTTAAGAGTATACTATCTTAGACAACTAAATAAAAATTCTTTTTTTTTTTGTAAATCTATTAAGTTCTATGTTTTTCTTTGTTGTTGTAGAACGATCAAGATCTTTTTTTTTTGTTTTTAATATCTAATAAATTTCGTAGAGTAAATGTTGTTTACATAAATATTATCCTATATGTTAATATAATCTTATTATATTAAATATAAGTCTAATGCACTTGTATATCTTCCTGTTTTTCTTTAAAACAAAGGAACATATAAAACAGGAAGTAAATAGCTTAGTAGAATAATAATAGTACTTATAATAGAAATAGCTTTAAGACTTTTTAAGAACTTATTACATCAAAGATTTCTTTATAATCAATCAATATTTTACTAGACAATGAGAAAGAAACAATAAAACCTCTTTCTTTTTTCTTTTAAAATTTTTGTTGTATTATACCTTGTTGCATTAATGTTCCAATAGAAAACCAAAGTGTATTACTAATAGTAAAACGATTTTCTAGTATATCATAATCTGTATCACATGGATATGGATTACGCCATTCATCAGGTGAACATCGAGCTATTAATAATAAAATAAAACTAACTGTAAATACAGCAGCAAATGTATAAATCTAAAAAAAATTATTAAATTAAATTAAATTAATAAAATAAAAACTTAATAAATATTCATACCCATATTTCAAGTGAAAGTGGACTTAAAAAACTGAATAAACCTGCTTTTTCTCGTTTTGGTAATTTAAATAGAATTGCTATACCCAAACTAAGAAATGGTTTAGTAAAATCAATTTGTTTTTCTCGAGCATAATTAACTAATTAAAAATAAATCAAATTATTCAAATCAAATTATTAGTAAACTTTTTTTTTTAATACATACTAGTTAATGGTGCGACAGCTAAATCAG